ATGGGCTGACAGTGTCTCTCCGCGGATGAACACTATTGCGTCACGTGATCAGTTTAAACCAATAAGAATCGGAGAAAATTTAGTGGTGAACTATAATGCCTCATAGAAATCGAGAGCGAATAATCTAATTGTAATAGTAGAATTCTAACTCAAATTATCGCAAATAATGATTTCCAAATATTTTTCGACGTATTTTTGAACTTTACACTTTAACAAAGTCACATGTCTTGAATCGTCCTTGGTAAATTTGCAGTTGTTTATGTGCGCGCATTGGTTTTTCAATAATTCCAAGTTTTTAAAGTCAAGAATCTGTTTATCTCCTTCTTTTAGTCTTCTCAGAAATTTAATTATCCATTTACATCCAAACTTTCTTCCAAAAAACGTCACATTTTGTGGACGACCGAAAGCTATTGCATTCTTATGGCTAATAGTATACGAGTAGCTCAGCATTTGCATTAGTATACTAGTAGAATTCTACTAAAGCTGTTAGTAGAATTCTACTAGTATACTAATGCAAGTGCTGTAATCTGATTGGCTGAGCTATTGTGCACTATCGGCCATTAGTTCACCACTAATTTTCTCCGATTCTTATTGGCTTAAATTGATCATGTGATGGGATAGTGTTCATCCGCGGAGAGACACTATCAGCCCATGGTGCCCGTCCGAGACCTGGTGAGACCTATCTGGTGAGTTTTCTCACAAAAGCTAAGCGTATATACAAAATAAACTTGACTTACTTACTTACTTGAATTGCAAAAGCTTGAAATTTTTGAAAGAAACTGATAAGAGCGTGTGCAAGTACACAATACCAAATTGACAGTTCAGTTCGCACGAATTCTCTAAAGCATGAAGCACTAAAACCAGAAATAATTGGAATTGTTATTTGAAGGAAATTTCAGTTAGAATTCTACTAAAACAATTAGATTATTCGCTCTCGATTTCTTTCAGGTGATAGTTGATTCAGCCTTTGGCCTCATCAGCTATCATCTCATAGAAATCTTGAGCTCATAATCCAATTGTTAATTGTTTATTAGAGTTGAGTCTGTGGTCGAGGTCAAATATTCTTTTGTTGAAAAAGGCATACAGATGAATGGCGAATGGGTCAATACTAATTCCTTATTAGCCAAGAGTGAGGTCTTTATGGGAAAATCTCAAACCAAGACCATGCTGTATTGACCAAGCAATAGCCTGCACAAGCATCCAGAGCACTGAGCGATAGTGAGGTCAATATGGCAAGGTTGAGGTTTAAGATTTTCCCGTAAAGACCGAATGTTCGAGGTAAATAAATAATACCTGAGTTGTTTAATATATAGCTTTTAGCTCAGTCTTTGCAGGCCCATAATTGGCCCATGGGCATTATGCATGGGAGAATAATGCCCTACGGTTAGCCAATCAGAGTGCACATTAGATTGGCTACAAACACATGCCATATAACAAAAAAGCAGAATTGACTCTTGATACATTTGTATGCCAAACAATTGATAACTGTAATAACAGCTATTTATCAGAAAGAAATTGTTTTGCTCTTCCTGTAGATCTCTACACTAATTGCCCCCCCTTCAGTGTCTAAGGGGGGGGGGAGGGAGGGGCTTAATGTAAAGGGTAGTGATAATTCACAGCAAAATCTAGTTACTTCCTGCACTTTGGTAACTGGAAATTAAAATTGTGTGAGACAGTGACACTAGGTTGAGATAACAAACCAGGTTGAAGATTAAATGAGTTTGAGATTAGAGAGAATGCTAATAAATAACTGCGGTTGAATCCTGATTTCTCAAACACTTGATTTTTAGAACCTCCTGATAACTCAAACCAACAATTGTTTCCTTCCCCAGTTGAACACTGCAGTTTTATTCCTGATTTCTCCAACTGAGCGATTTTTCAAACCAATTTCGTTTTCCTTGAAGATTCGAAAAATCAGGATTCCAATGTGTATTTGGGACCATATAGGTGTATGTAGGGCTCAAAACATTTATAAATTTGGGCATAATGAATCAAACACATTAATAAACCTAATCTTTCTCCCCAGCTTCATCACAAGAGCGGAGTTTTAACCCAAAGCACTGTTGCACAGGCTCAGAAGGCAGAAAGGAAGTTGATATTTGTTCCATTGATATTTGTCTTCTTGCGCATGTGGGGTACCATACGATTTTTCCTGTTAATTGCTGATGGACCAGATTCTAAGTCATATGACTGGCTACTTATTTTGCAGGTCAGTGTTACAATCAAGGTACAGTTAAAACTTATTAGGCATGCGCTTTCGGTCACTCCAGTGACTCAGTAAACACTCCATTGTGGTCTAATTAAGCAACCCATACACATATTTGTAGCCTATGAATCCACTTGCCTTTTAGTCACACACACGGGCAACTAGAACAAGTTGTTGATTGAAGTGGTGTTCCAGAGGGGCTGGTGCTCAAGAAGCTAAGAGTAGCTCTCACAACTATTGCCTCAAGCAACTCTCACACTTTTTAGTGTTCTCCAAACTTCCCACATGCAACGTAACTCCACTGTGCGTGAAGTATGAACTTGCTAATTAACAAAAGAAAACTAAATGAAATTTGAGACAGCTTTCAGTCACTTATTGTCTTCATTGAGTGTATGAGAACTCACAATATCCCTTCTGTGCCTGCATTTTCAAACCTGAGTTTTTCTACAGGTGTAACCTCTGGAGTTGGCTGAAATGATCTCTCTCTTTATCTGAGCCCCCCAAATGGTCAGGGATACTCAAAAACAAACAAACAAACAAACAAACAAACAAACAATGACAACAACAACAAAAAAGAAATGAATCATTCAATAACTGATGATTTTCCTGTTTTTATTATTCTATTATTACTTAGCTAAGAATGTTACAAGTATAAATTTACTTATATCATTCATTGTTAGTTGTCAAATTAATCATTAATTAATTGATTTATTGTCTTAATTTTAATTTAAGGGCATTGGAGATAACGCTCCAGGGTTTGCAAACTTTCTTCTCTTCTGCTTTTTTACTGAGAAGTTTCTTGGGAACATTCGCTGGTGTCTTCAATCTTGTACAATCAGCTCTGCACCAAAAAATCAAAGTGTCTACCAGTCCAGCTCGTCGGCAACTTATGGCAATGATGTGACAAATATACAAGAACCAATTATCAGTGAGCACAACAGAAACAGAGAAACTGATTGTCTAAAGGGGCAAATTAACCCTGATTATTCATCAATGGTTTGCTAACTTAACTGATTGAAATTATGTGAGTCAGTGAGTAAAACACGGTGGTCTGACATTTGAGAGAGTGCCTTCTTTGGTCAACTGAACAGCTTAACACAACTTAACGAAAAATGTTGCATTGTCTTTGTGTAGTGAAAATTGTATTTAAGGGATTAAATAGCCTATTGCCTTGAGGTATAGTTTTTCTTAGTTATCTCAGTTTGTTATATCATGTTTGGACTAGAAGTGTTATAAGCTGTAATATTGTTTACTTTGTGTAGTTTTCTGAAGATACTACATGTATTCATGAGAATAACTAATTAAAATTCTTTATAAGTTATAAAATATTTACCATGTATAATCCTTATATATTTTGTGCATCAGATTATGTTAAAGATTATGCAGATTTTAAATTTATTTAATACTGCTAAATATAATGATATGTACTGTGGATAAGTATATTTAGAAGCCTACTACCAGTAATCTAATACCAAGAAGTACATTTTTTCTTTCAGATAAAAGTAATTTTTAAGTAACTGGAAAAATGGCCATATGTGCTCAAGGGCGTAAAGAGGATTGAGGATCAAATAGTGGTAAAAGTCTGCATTAATTGGATTTTGCAGTGATCAAAATGCATGTCTCCCGAGATCTCCTATTATGTAATAACGTAACCAGTACTACAATGACTATAATTAACACTAATTTAAAGGAATCTATAACTTGTTCTTTCAGAAGTGCAGCAGTGAATAAATGTTTAAAAAACATTTAAGAGACTGTTGTGTATGGCGATTAGATGTTTTGCCAAGCGCATACCAAATAGGCTTGTATTGCAACAGATCAGGCTAGTCAAATCAAGTATGGTACATGAAGTGACTATCACTGTCTCTCTGAATTAGATGCTACCTACCTCACAACAGGCTATCAAATGAAGTATTTTGTATTGTCATCCTTGCAGCTAGCAAGTAGCCATTTATTGTCTAGTCTCACCACTAAAATTCAGCTAGTATTCATTAAAATTATACACTACTTCTATGAAGTAGAAGCTGATCTTGTACCATTGAACCCTCCTGTCTTGAAGTCTTAAGTAAAAAAAAAGTTTGAGGGAAATTATTTGAGTTTGAGATAACCAGGAACTTCAGGACAAATGAATGTTCCATTGCTTATTCAGACTGAGCTTACAGGGTTTTTATGGTTTTGGTATCTCTACAAGCCATAAAATATTAGTAGCTACGTTACCCCAGAAAGTGAGCTTTAAACTAAAATTTCCTTCTTGATACAGGCCCATCCAAGTAGACTGAACACTTGGAGATAAGTGTTTTTTTAATGAATGGTCATGTCAGGAAGAACACATGAAGGAGACATTTAATTTCAAATGGAGGGGTCAAACATTAGCTGTCAGAAGTGGGTCATGTTCTCCAAAATACCTGTGTGTAGAAACTCGGGTCGTTATAAGTTGTTCTCAGTTTGCAGGGGACAGCTAAAAAGTGAGATGATATGGATTTTCATGGTAAGATCTGTTGTTCCAAAAGTGACATGACAAAATAGATCACAAGTTCTCTTCTGTATGCGCTGTCAACTTGAATGGGCTTGGCTTAAGCGGGAACTTTAAATCTTACTTTTTTTTCGGGGGTTGGAACTCAAAGCTATACTTTATAGAGACACCAAAACCGAACATTCCCTGTAGCAAGTAGTTTGCATGTGTCTCATGCATGTGTGAGCTTAGCCTACTTCATGATCATTATATCTTCAAGTGGTTTCCTTTTGATGTCTGGTACCAGGGCGTCATTAGCTGGGTAACCAATAGGAAGCAGTAACATCAGCTTTTCGTTGGCTTTCCTTCCCAGTAAATCCCTCAATCGTGGCCCAGCGTTCATTGGAGTGGAGGTTACTGTCACCAATCCTGCGTTCTGTAAAAAAATTAAGACACAGAATGTTTACTACTTTAATTTATGTTTCAAGACTCTACCATAAGCAAGTGAGAGGCTAGGGTGATGCTTGTTACCACTTGCATGTCAGAAAAGAAAAACAGACAAACAAAAAATGTACTAGGTATCTTGTAGGGGTAGAAATGATTTTGTGCCACACTTACCAGGTGATATGTATTCTCTATTTTAGTAGCCTCTTCTAGGTGTTCAGTTAGTTAGGGTGCAGCAAGAAAAATGGCAATCGCAAAAATAGGGCAGAACCACGGCAAGAGAAAGGTCCTATCAGGGGTTTTTGGGATACAGGATAATTACCAGTAGGTGAAAATTAATGGGTAGATATTTCTGGAAAAAAAATTGATGGGATAAGGGATATTTAGACCAAATTTTCCCAGATATTGAGTACAAAATTTGTTAGTCTTTGAACTAAAATTTACAGGATACAGGATATATCTAGGCCAAAAGTAAATAGAATATGGGATACTCAGACTCCACTGTCCCCCCAGTGGGACCCTTATTTTACCTGAATGGCTGCTAGAAGAAGACCAACTGAGATGCAGACACTCATTTCATGATAGTAATGTGTCCTCTTACTGCCGTCCTCTCTGAATCCATAGACTTGCTTGAAAATCAGGATAAGATAAGGTGCACTGTTCAGGTATGGTTTAGACCATGTTGTCTTCACAAACTCCAAATCCTTTAACCACTTCTCTCCCATTCGTCTGGCATAGTTCAGTTTTTCTTCTTCTTCTACAATCTCACGGATGGTTGCTTTAAGTGCTTTGTCTTTCACTACTACAAAGGTCCAAGGTTCTGTATGAGCTCCACTAGGGGATGTTCCTGAAAAATTATTGAACTGATCAGGCCATTGAATGATGATGCAAACATCTGAATGTGGCCAGAGAGCGACAGTGGTAAGGGTTGCAACTGATTCAGCATCAAAGAGAGGATGGATCTGGAGGGTACATTTATGTTGCTGTTTAGTGTTCTATCTACCAAGGGAAGGGCTAGTTGGATTCTTTTCTTTTCTAGGAGGAGAGAGAGAAGGGGGGTGGGGGGCAGGGGAAAACAAAAAAGTATAGCTTCTAAAAAGACAAGGAGAGATGCCATCAACTGGAAATGATTTGAAAGTTGGAGGGGATTTACTAGCCTTTCCCAAGACATCAAGGGACTTCTGGATGCACAAAATTATCAATTGGTGACAAAATTTTCGAGAGAAATTGTCATGAGCATCAGTCATTTGTTTATTGATTAGGTGGCTTTGATTTTCCAACAGTTGTCTGTTATTTCTTTTCAGAACACTGGGTGTAAACATTTCTGTAATTTTTTTTTTGTTTTTCATATCCGTAGCCCGTAAACAGGCTCCCTAGTGGGGCAGTGCTTGGCTTGCGCAGGAGCCCCTGCAGTGTACCCCAGGGGGAAGCGACTCTCATATATATAGGACAGGGGTGCTTGTTGGAAATTTGGGAAACAGTCCCTATAAGGTACCAACATCCCGTTTTGTGGGCGTGGCTTAAAATGTATAAATGTATGTATAGGGACCGCGAAAGCTTCTGCTGTGCAACTTTTGAGCCTGAACACTCTAAGAGGTACCAAAATCTCGTTTTTAACCCCTAAAAGGTATGACAAGAACCCCTGTCCTTTATATATGAGAGTTCCCCCCAGGGCTGTACCCCACTAGGGAAATATTTCATGGGCTAATTGACCTAAGGAACCTTGAATTTGTAGCACACTTGTTACAAAATGATTTATCATACTGTATATTGCCCTATAATGCTTAAATTTACTTCAGCTGACGCTTCTTACAAGGAAACACCTTGCATCTCGTAGGGTGGAGGGGAGGCGGAGGGGGAGGGAGACGGATACGTTGCGGACAAACTTTTTTGTGAAGAGAGAAGCGTGCGTGATTACATGTTTACCTGCAGTTCTGATTATGTTTTCTACGACTTCCAATGGAATGTCTTCGTCGCTGATTTTCCGAACTGTTCGCCGTTTGTTCATCTTTTCGTAGAACTCGGCTGACTTTTTCTTCATTTCTTCCTCGGTCAAGCGATCGTCAAACCAGGGATAAGGTATATGTGCAGCTTCGCCCTCTCCACTTGTTCGAAATCCCAGTGGATCTGGAGGAGGTATAGCAACGACGTCACTATCCTCTAGAGGATCCACATCAACCGTGTAGCTCGGTGTCGGAGATTGAAAAACTCCTCTAATAAGTTGGGCGATGAAGAATCCAGTCAAAATCGAGACAATATACGGCCAGTAAGTGGCGAGAAAAGGTGCGGAGAATTCCATAATCACCCCGAACCGAACCCACACGAGTCACGACAGTTTCATGCCAGCGGCGTCACGTTCAAGGAAAATCTGCTGGAAGATCTGGATTCCGGACTCCGAACTCCAGACTCCGGACTCCGGAATCCCCAGGCTAAAATCAGGAATCTGAAATCCCGAATAGGAAACGGAATCCGAATTCCAGGTAAAAACGGAAGAAGGAGAAAAAATTCACTTCAGGATTGAGAAACGAACATGAAAAGTCCTTCCTTCTCCTCCCAACCCCCATCTTTCTTTTTTTTTGAGTCTCGCCCCATTTTCCGCGTAGGCACAACACCGAAAATCCCGTTCCTTGGTCTTTCTTTGCTCCCAAACCCCACGGAAACGCTTCCTACGCAGGCTAAGAGACCGATAAGTCTCCTGTTTTGCGCTGGCGTTCAGTTTTCTTGTGATTGTATCCGCGCGTTCAACAAAAAAGCACAAATGAATGACAAATTTCCTCTAAGAGAAACGTTTTTGTGCGTCCTATACTAAATACCCTCTACGTTTCATTTTTATTTAATAGATATTAATAAACTGTTCTGCAAGAGCGGGGGGGGGGGGNAATTAGTCAGCTTCTTCGGGCTTCTCCTGTTATAGGAGACTCAAGCGGAAACTGAAATCACTAGATAATTTTAATAATTTTACATTCAAAGTGACGTCTGCGTCTACATGCACTTGGGGGCGGGAGAGGGGAGGGGGAGACCTTCGTCATGGAAGATCAAAAAACCTAGTCTGAGTAGGGAAAAGGGTAGCAACACAAGGATGAGAATACACGCGAAAACCGAGGGTTTATAGGAGTCGATAAGAGCGCTTGAGAGCTCGAGTTAGTCGCCGCAGTTTCGTCTAGTTTGCCACACCGAGCTTTAAAGCCCGGCACACACGAGGGGCTACTCCCTGCAACTAGTCCCCTGAAGAGTTTACACGAAGGAACTGGTCGCAGGGACTTGTCCCACGAACAGTTCACACGAAGCGTTTTAGGAACAAATCGCAGGGACTTGTCCCAAAAATTCAAACTGGTTTGAATCCGTGGGACTAGTCATAGGGACCAAAGTTGGTCCCTGCGACCAGATTTTGAAGCAAAAATGGCTAGATCACACGATGGGACTTGTCTCGGCGACTAGTCGCAGGAACTGGTCCCCTCGTGACTGCCGACCTTTACAGCGCGTTATTTCAGACCGTCAGTTGTTCCTCTTCATTGCAATCTCGATGTGAATGGAAAATGGCATCAGAAGTGTTTAAAGTTGTTGCTGTTGTTAGAAAACGTCTAAAAAAAATTGCAACGGCTTATTATATTAGGAACCGAGAAAAAAAAACATAATTTATTCACACAAGGTGATATATAAAAAAAGAAACTGGGCTGTAAGAGTATTGAATAAGTTTTTAATACAGTGCTTAACTGTTAGCAAATAAACCCGCTTTACCGTATTCCAGTGTATGACAACATGCACACAAACCCCTTTTTGGTGTGATTGTTTGAACACTCTGATGGAATGCCAAAAGATCTTTACTGGAAACTTTCACGACAACAAACTTCCACCTAACAGCCATCTAATTTTATTCACGATAAAACGCTAAAAGTAATTTTGTTGGCTTGAAATGTTAGCCTTATCCCTCAAGCTAAACTTCGAGACGGCTGACCTTTGAGGTTTGAATTTCGTCATACTAAGCATTGGCACCGCGGGCCAAGGCCAAAGACGGAAAGTTGTCAGATGTTGTACTAGATAAATAATTGTAGCTAGAATTTATGCCAGAACTGACAAAAATTGTAGGCGTATTTATTCACGTCAAAGTCATTTCTACGAACGTTTTGCATAACTAATGCTTGAAAACGTTCCCGTTTTGTATTATCCGAGTATATAACAGCATAAGTATTTCAAAAGGTTTCTCGTCAGCTTGAATCTGTCAATCTTGCTACTTATAAATATGTAAACAATCATTACATTCAAACCTATATCCATAAGAGGTTACCCGCTGTCCCAGTCATCAGTGACTGAATTTAAGGCTCTTTGTTTATGATTGATAAAGTAAAATGAACACAGCATTTGATATGCTAAACTAGATGCGTACCATTTTCCAGCCTGCTGATCGACAGTGTTAACTGGAACCAGAACCCGTTAACGTTTCAATATGACGTACTCGATAAAAGCGCCCTGCCCTAAATAGGCAGTTCTACAAAGCCGAGCTTTAAATAATCTCTCCGTACTGTGATAAACACCCTAAATGTTCTGACGAATGGTCGCAAACGTGATTTGCTAGTTGAAAACTGAGGTATTAACATTCCTTCGCCAAAAAACACTAAATACTACTTAAAATGCTTGCGCGCATGCTAATTGCTATTCCATGCTAATTGCCATTCCATGAGGGATTCCAAGCTGTCCCCCACCCAAAATGCATGTTTCACATCATGTTAAGCTATGCCTATCAAATGAGACGTTTTATGTTTTTTTTTTGTGACTGATTTTTAATATCGATTTAAAGCCCTGCGTAACGTTAGTCATTAATTTATAGATTCAGAAAATTTTAATAACAAGCGCTGATTGCTACCGTTTCACCTACCCGGTGTTTCAGAGCGTCTGATAACCTTTTAATTAAACATACCGCAAACACCGGCATAAGTGGAACTAAATTTAACTCCTTGCGAAGAACTATGCTAAATGTCTCATTCATTGTAATGAATATTACTAGTTTGTCTAAACTCTAATTTTTCTCGCCCATGTATACATGTAAGTGAAAATTTCTGCGCTCTAAGTCATGTAAGTTTTGACCTCTAATTAACCATGCTACTTGCCTTTCGTTCGATATGTTTTTATATTAACGGGGAAAACTTTTAAGTTGCCATTATCCAAATAGCCCAGAGTTCTATCTTAAACACTCTGTTTTTAAGTCGCATTTAAGTTTTTCCTGTCCGAAAACATAATTAGGTTGTCTGACATCATCTGTAAAGGCTGATAAGAAAACTCTACCAACCTAATATGGGAAACTCGCAGCTATTTATAAATCGCGTAATTAATATGAGTCCCTGACACTTTTTAGGTGCGCTTCTTCACTCGCGCGTGACACGAAATTGACACTCACGCGTGGATGACACGCGCCGTAGAACTTACTCAAACAAATACATTTGCACGCAAAGCTCGGCAAGCTACGCGAGACTAAAGAACACATTTCCATACTATATCGAGGACATTATTTACTAATAGTAATTTATTTATTTATTTGTTTATTTATTTATCTTCAGTCGAAACTTCTGTATAAGCGGACACCCTCGAGACCAGAAAAGGTGTCGGGGAGGTGTCTGCTTATGGGCGATGAACAATGCAGACCAATGCAGAGTTTGTATCTGACTGGGACCATTACTAAGCGTCCGCTTACATTTACATACTTAGGTACACTGCCTCATTACTGACTTACTTACCACATTTACCACTTACTTAACTAATTAACTGCAAACAAACACACTAAACTTGCATATTTAGGAGCACATTACAAAATGTCCGCTTACGGGAGGTATCCTTAAAGAGGGGTTGTCCCTCCTTACGGGAGGTGCACCTAAAGGAACGGTGTCCCGCTACGCCCGGGAGGTGTCTGTTCGCGAAGATTCGACCGTACATAGTACCGATACGCTTCCCTCGGGACCTAAACTGCATTCCGCAATGTAATGTATAAAGCAAAACACAAATGAATCAAAGCCAGTTTATTTTAAAGTTTGCAATAAATAGCTTAACTAAGCTTAACAAAAGTTACACGTGCATTCAGGTGTTTACGAAATAGCGATCCTAATTCTTCTGAAAAACAACAAAAATAAATAAAGCAACATTACTAAGAACGGCTGGTAAAGTTCTAAGAAGAGGGAGAATAAAAGAAAGAAATCACCGGATAACTAGCTATGATGATACTTCAATTTGAATTTCAGTTAAAACTCTCCAAGTATGAAGCCCCAAACTTCGGTAATATTTCAACCCGGGATTTCAACTCAAATCACAATCCCATACTTGAAGATTCTGTTAAATATTTTCATCTTTTTAACGGTATATTGACACTAATAAGCTTGCATTAGATAAATATATTTTCAATCTTTGATCCTTTTTCCCTCATCGCAAATAAAAAAAGCTACAACGTAAACAAATATTTTTTGTGTCTGCAGTGAACGAAATCCAGCCCGATTCAATCTACGCTTGAACTCCTTTGAAAATCCAAAACCATAACAATAGATCAATCAAGGCGGGGTTGAAGAAAAACATTGAGGGCGTTTTATAAAGGGATTACAGACCAGTTATAACTATTTTGCTTCTAGATCTTCATTAGATCTCATTGTAATTCAGCCAATACTTGAGAAGATTGAATAAAGCGCTGAAGAATTCAGACTAAAGGTGACTTAAGGTGGATTAACTTAAAAGCCCTCTTTCCGGATTTAGATCATATCGGAAAAATCTTCCCTCCTCATCGTCTGCATTTCATTGTGTAAACGTTTTAAGTGCTTTGATGCCACCTTCGGTTTGTTTCATGTTGTATTCCTATTGTTTTCTAATGTAGATTCCATGCAGTTGTCTTGGTTTTGAAAAATTCTTCAGCGTAAATAATGAAATCAGATGCACACACGTCAATGTTCTCTTTTTATCCAGAAGTATTTATTTTGCAATATGTTCTAAGCACTTCCGGAGGCTCAAAGCTTCACGCACGTATGAGGCAACAGACTACGCGCGCACTTCCTTGGATTCTCGCGCGTCCGTCCGCCGCCCGCGCGTTTGGTTATGACATCCGGCGCGCCCTGAGGGAGTGAAATATGAAAACCTTGTTGGATAAATATCAAGGAGAGATTTAATTTCGTGAATGCATCGCGCTTCGCTTAACTCAACAGTGCATGCGACCATGAACGTAGGGCACACTAAGCCGCGCGTTGTCGATAATATGGACAACTTTCAACGGTTCTTGAGCAATGATGAGATCAAAATGAGTTCTGAGCGATCGTCTGCGTCGAAGAAAGTGAGTAAGCCACAGGCCTAATTTGAATTACTAAAATCACGCGTTGCAATCTGCTTGGCCGACGCGCCGCGGATTGCTAATGGCTGACGTATTCCTAACGCGTTTGTTGTTCTTCGCTCTCAGGGAATTTTGTTGCAGAATCTGGATGAGGGTAAACCTTGCTTAAAGTGTGGAGAGAAATGCCCTGGATTCAGTTTACACGTGTGGCGGTGAGTGGGGCAAACTCAAGTATCTTCAAATTGTTTATTTTTGAGTCCATTTTAGGTATAAACCGCGCCGCGTTGTCAGCAAGATGCGAGTTAATGAAATATAAATTTTAATCCTGTTGTTTAGACTAAAAATTATTCTCTGTGTCTCCTAATTAAGTACAATAAAGCACTTCAAATTTCTTACGGACCGTTTCATTCCCCACCCGCAGTAGTAATTTTAATACAACTACAACAAATTATTTGCTCTTGTGAGATAAGTTAAGCTTTAGTTTTCGATCCGAATTTTCGTGCACAGGCAATAACTGTGCGCTTGACTTCAGAGTATCTGCCATTTCCAGCTGTTCATGTTATCACCGCGCAGTTTTTACAAACGTGTTTTGAAAAATTGGAAATCCGCGCTTTGATGGTTAAGCAGTAATATGTCAGTGCAGACACGCAATAGCGGGTTGTCATTGTGGATATGTGTCAAGTTTTGAGCTGCCGCGGGGCATAAACATTCACTTTTCATTCATTAAGCGCTTCAGTGCCTAAACACATAAGCTGTATCCATGTTAAAACCACTGGTGTGAACAGCAGAAATTTTTTTCTGTTCAACCCCCGCCGGTTTGTTGGCGGATTCTGCACATTTTGATTACGTGAGAAGGTTGTTTGAACTCGTCATGGACACAACGAGAACAGAACACAGAAGAAAGCCTCCGAGAAAACCACCCAGGCCGAGTATAAGGTTAGTTACTTTCAATTTCGCGAATGAGTGCACACCGTCGAAAAAATATGACTTGAAAATTATTGCTGGAATACAGAAGAGCTGGGCTTATTTCTCGCCCCCTTTTGCTTTAAACACACAATTTGAAAACATGAAGGGAGTTTTGATTTAAAAAACGTCTTAAGACATCATGACATGGTAACAGTTTGGTGTAGTTTTATGACATACAAATAATTTTAAATGCGAGACGACTCAATTCTATTCTTAGTCCTAGAACAATCCAGCGATATTGAATTGATATATTCATAGAAAAATCGTGACAACCAAACAGATATCACTGGTATATGGTTGTCGACCGTGTCGTAGATGGATGATATCTGCACGCCAACGGATCCACATTACTAGAGATAATAAACTGCTATTTTCAAAGCCGACAGCCTTAAGTACTTACAAAACAGTGACATTATGTTGTGGACATTTCTAGTTCTTTGAATTCGTTTATTTTGTCTGACAAGTCAAGGAGACAGTTGCGTGTGAAATAAAGCGCTTTAAAGAAATTAGGCGACTAGACTCTCCATGGCATCCTCTCGTTGGTTCTTGGGTGTCAAGGGTAAAGAAGAACGCCTAATTATGGAAAGTTTGACCGAGGAGGTCTTGTGAGAATCCCTCGCGCGTGGACACATACAGAATATCTATACTGTTCCTTGGCAAGGAAGAGGCACAATGTCAAGACTATTATCACTCACTGCCGGTCATCAGATGAATTTCGTGGTAGTTTTGTAACTTAACACCGCAAAAGTTTTTCAGGTCACACAGACTGATGGCTGACATGGTTTTAATTTACGCCAAACTCAGACAAAAATACAAAAAAATCGGGTAGATCATAGAACGACTGCAGCGAAACACATTAACAATTTTCACAGCTAAACGAGTTTCGTTCCTGCCCTGGTCCTAATCTTGACCATACATAGTAAAAATTTGTCAGAGTAAAAACTGATTGCTTGACTAATCAGCAAATGTAAACCGTCATTGTTGAATGGAATTGTGTTTTTTTATATTCCTTTTAAGGCGCATTCTTTAAGTTCCTCAAGGGTTGGGGTTACCCCTAATTCGTCCCCATTTCCGGGAAGAATGCGCTGTCTTTCCTTCGCGGCTTGTGTTGTGTACAAAGAAACTCCGCAGCTGCAAAGAAATGTTCTAAATTAAACTAGTTCGCAGTTTCCTACAATTTTGGAAAGTCGGAAAGCAATTTTCGTATCTGAAAACAATGTCTCTATTTGGTTACCGAATTCAATTCAAGATTTAACAGATAAATCGACGATCAAATTTGAGTACGTAGATTAATCGCGGTTTCGAAGTGTGGAGTCCCATTTTCATTTTCCATAATCCATCAAGCGAATGATTTCCGCTTAGTTTTACAGCGAAAATATAAGATAATAGAAGCAGCCTCACGCTTCTGAACAAATCTTCTTCCTTCAAGTCGTTAAAAATTCTTTTCCACATGTCGCAATTTTTGAATACTTTAGGCATCCGAATCGCGCTATTTTGTGCGGTTTTTTTGGCGGGAAGAACGGCGGAGACTTTGGTCTGTCATACGCTTCTATTACACCCATTGTGGAATTAACCGAAAATTCAACGAAATTAATTTCAACTTGTGACCACAAGTTCGAGATGCCACGTGGCTGTTATTTGACCACAATATAAAGTGGTGAATAAACTCATGGTAGCAACATGAATTTTGCGCGACACGAACTGAGATTTCTACATATATGAAACCGCGAAAGTTACGTAGCATGGTTTCGAAAGAACGCATTGACGTCCACTGATTTTCGCTTTTTGAATCGCGAAAATGAAGTGAGGTGGTTTCGAAAATGAAAAATCATGAGGTATTGTCCTGTTAAAATCGTGAAGTAAAAAAGTAAAAAGAAAAATTGATGTTATAAGATATTTTTAATTTGTCTTCTTGTGGTAAGACGGAATGCCAAAGATATCGATCATCTCAGAATCTCATGCTAAAGTCCAAAAACAGATCTTGCACTGAATGAACATTTATGATCACACGTTATTTCGTTTTCTCTCCTTTTTTTGATCTCTTTTGTCAGCCACACATTTTGGTTGCCCAAAATATACTCACCTGACATCGTAGAAAATTTTGGACCCGTTCCTGAAATAGATTTTGATCGGTAATTACAGAGAAACAGATGTCTGGGATAAAGGCTTCGTTTGTTTACTCTAAGAACGTTGCGAAATACAAGTTCATTACGGCTTCTTGAAACTGGGGAAATTCTATGGCCGAGAATGGTTTGACCGAGAAATTTTCTCGGTTAGTATTTTAGTATTAAATCTTATTAAACATAAGGTAAGAGCGATTCTCTGCAATTGAAATAAAATCATTATATCTGTTATTAAACTGTTGACTTCCTCAAGGTAAATATTTACATAGCTGCTGCGATTTCTTAATGAGAAACTGTTTATGAAAGGTACAAGGGACTTTGGCTTGTTCTCACACATGAAGATTGCTAATAACGCATATAGATTACGGATTTGATGGAAAATGAATGCCACATAGAGAATTTCCAATCGCAAATCTTACAGGGCAGCACTTTCCTTGGGGTCGGGACGAAGCATGTCTTTACTATGCTTGGCCCCGATTGGACGGCTGCCAAATCTATGCAAACCTTGTTATGACGTCACAAGATAATTTCGTTTTGTGCTCACTCACTAGAGGTTGTCGTCAAACAAACAATGTTTCCCAAGCCAATTTTTTGTTCAAGAGCCGAGTGTTACTTTCGTATGTCTCTCGAGCAATAGATCTTACCTAAGTTATGGGTTGGGCAATTTTCTGCGGCATGAAGTTTTTGCTCACCTTTAGGTTGTGCAGTAGCTTGTGCAAGAATTGTTTTCAAAAACAAAACAGTACCTGGATGGTAAAAAGCACTTGCTCGATTTTTTTCCTATGGCCCGCCTTGGACGATTTTTTTTCTCGCAGTTTTTGCGGTGCAGAAATATTTTTGGTAATTGCTCAACTCCCCCCTCAAAAAATATTGGTCCGTCCGTAACCTAAGTTGCCAGGAATAATTCCGAAACTTTCCCTTTTTTGTTTACAGCAAGGTGTGCTCCAACTGCAAATGTCCTCGGGAGAATCACGATGTGTCTGTGGATGTGGATGTGGATGTGGATGGAGTAGAATTCAAAGTAAAAGGTCTTAAGATCAACTCAGACATCGACCACGAAGATGACTTACCCGCCCCTCCCCCGTTACCAAATAACAATGATTACCCAACTGTGACGATTACAACTACTCAGTCCTACCCTGTGGATAACGACTTCTTACCGCCCCCTCCCCCTCCCTCACTGGCTGCAGATTACCTCTGGTCGCCACCCGATCTTACAGCAGGACAGGTATGAAGTAAAAATATGCAGTATGGTATTTTTTCTCCCAACGAACTTTTTTTTTCTGTCTCGGGTGAAAATGTAAGGCAATACCAACTTAATATCGCTATTTCTTTAATTAACTTTTTCAGAAAAAACCTCAGCATGGGGTTGATCTTAAAACACATTCCAGGTTACGGATAAATTGAAGTTTGCACTAGTCTCTTAGAGCAGATTTTATTTCAGTCTCGAAAGTAATTGGTTTTGCATCACTACGTTGCACGATTGGTTTAAAACACTCGCGCCATTTTTTCATCCAATCAGAAGTAAAACCAAACCTAATCGTGACTCGCTCGCACAGATTTTCCCGCGCTTTGCGTCAGCTACAGGTAATTACTTCGAGTTTTGATTGGTTCACTCAGTTCACTCACCCAGTTGAGTTGCGCGATCTAGGCATACAGCATCTATACTTTAAGTTAAACTGTAGGTATCTTTTTGTTTCTTGGGAGGCGCGTTGACCTCATGGTTGGTACGCTCGTCTCCAGATCGAGCGGTCCGGGTTTAAACCCTGGCCGGGGACATTGTGTTGTGTTCTTGGGCAAGACACTTTACTCTCACAATGCCTCTCTCCACCCATGTGTATAAATGGGTACCGGCGAGTTTAACGCTGGGGGTAACCCTGCGATGGACTAGCATCCCAACTATTTGGAAGTAGAAACACTCCTAGTCGCTTCAGGCTACAGAAGTCGGGATAAGCTCTGACCTAATGGGCCACTTGGCTCCTCTGCAGACTTTATGTTGTTGTTGTTGCTACTTGCAACACCAACTATTTAGTACCCACTCCTTACCTACTAAGGAAGACATTAAACTAGACCAGCCTGATTGTTATGTCGTCACTATTTCGTTTTTAGGTGGAGGCTTACATGAAGTCCCTGCCAGACGATAGAATCCCTATCCCTGACACACCGGGGGAAGCTTATTATATAAAACAGCGCTCGTACCAGAACCCGCCCCAAGATAAAGCGCCGGTGCATTTCTCTAATATACCGGAGCCGCAAAGAGAAGCTTTTGTGCAGTTCTGGAATAACGAGGATAACGCCCGCGGGACGGGACGAGTCAAAGTCCCGCTTGGAAGACGAGAGGTAAAGTTGAAAATGAATGACGTTGAGAATGATAGCGAGAATTATCAAGGCCGAAGTTGAGACGGATAACACGAACCAAGGCCTTGATAATTATCGCTATCACGCGAAAACTGAATCCAATAATTGTTTTGTTATGCATACACCTGAGTACCTGTAAAGCGTAGTCACTGTTCATCACATCAGTGTGTAACAACCTCTTATTTACCAAACGCGAGGGCCGCACTGGGGTATATATTGGACCGAGATCGTGGCAGTACGGACCGAGTGCACCGAGGTTCGTACAGATTCGTCCGGGGGCCAATATTCCCCAGTAGGGCTCGAGCAAGCTAAGTTGGTTAATAGTTCATAAGATAGCATGTAAAACGAAAAATACACGACTTACTGTAGGACCGTTTCTATGGTCCGTATGGCAAATCACCCGATCAAGAAAGAACTAATTAAAACGCACGGATCTAACCAGGATTACTTAATTTGCCATATAATATTCGGAATATTGTTGGTTATCGGTCAAGGTTGTCGTAAAATTTATTAGCCGTGGTTTATATCTGTAGCTTGTCCTCAACTCATCGCCCAAAAAGGCAACATGGAGACAACGCTGGCGCTAGTTCTCATGCTTTGAACATCTTAGCCCGTTACTGGCACGACATGTACAGCAGACAATCCGCACTCACGAGCTGCCCTTAACACGTGTTTGTCAAGTGTTTCAATTATACGTTGAAAATTCAGATGACACGAGAAGCGTTATGAGTCAAGGTATTCTTGCAGCCTTGTTAACAATGACCTAATCAATCAGAGACAGGGTTTTATTGTCCATTGCGAGAATGTGCGACAGTGTACGACAGTGGTAGTAGAATAGGTTACAAGGATAGCTTCAGACGGTCGTATCTCACCAGGTCTAGGGACAACACGAAGCTGCGGAATGGCAATTCGATTAAATCCTCCTTATTCGTCTTTGTGTGAAAGTTTCTCTTTATTTACGTTTACAATATTATTATATATATCAGGTACATAGAAGCGTCCATTCTTAATCAGCCCTTTTATTGGAAACCTCGGTATGAAACGAGAATTCGATCATATAACACCTGCCATTCTTGTAACATTTAAGCTTACTATCATGTATGTACGCCAAAAACAGCTTTATCCCTCTCGACTTCTGACCCTGAGGAAACAAAATACTCATAAGCTAGCCGGGATAATCCAAAAACATTTTAATCCTATTTAGCCAGTAATTCATCCGCAATATCCGCTTTTCTTTTATTAAAAGAATTCTGAAATTAGAAGATAAAGGATTGATTAACTATAGATCAGCCTAGCGGATTAAAACCTCTGCCCTTAAAATGACACTTATCTAATAAAATGTGCCATGAATAAACGTTAGGATGGGTATTCTCGCATTACCAAAGGTAAAGTTCGCAATTTCCAAATAAGCGGGCAGTTATATTTCACAGAAATATCGGTAGCAATTTGTCACAGTGTATGTAACTCGGGAAATTAAAACGACCGTGACCTAAAACGCTCAAGTATATTGAAGATACGAGGTATTTCTGTGGAGGATTGGTATTTCTTGTGACAGCATTCCAATCGATCAATTAGCAAGGTTTAATTTTTGGACAGTAGGTCCTTTCCGGTTATTTTATCACTACTGCCAAGACTGAAGCCATTTTACACGGAAGCAGGAAAATTAGTTTGCTATATAATCTCACTCTCGCCCGACTGGTCAAGAAGGAAAGCTGGTTAACATTCTTTCCTGTTTTGTACTTCTAGCAGGAAAAGCTATTAAATGTTATTCAACAAGTGCCTTGCACTCAATGAACTGCTCTCCAATTATCCACTTTATCAGTCGTGTTTAGGATTCGTCTCACTAGACCTCACTATGAATCAACAATATTTAACGACTTGCTCGCCCATTTACTCGTTGGCATTCTGTGAGCAAATCAAAATTTCCACAATTACTCCACAATAGAGGAAGTTATAGGGGAAGAAGAGGAAGAGAACCAGAGGGGAGAGCTATCGCCCCTCCAGCCATCCCATTGCCTTTGCACTCGGTTCATTGATTTTTTTGTTCATTTGACTTCTTCACACAGTCCTGTGGAATCCATTATATTCTATCCGCTGATTCCTCCCCCAATCGCCCCTCTCATGTCACACTTTCCCGTGAGAGACGGCTGGGAAGTAGATAATTTATCCATAAATTTACCATTAGCTTTATGTATTTTCCTCAGACTTGCCAGTCGTGTTTCAAGACTATTCCTAAAGGTGATGTGGTCGTCATGGCCGAATTCGATGAGAATGAAGTGGCTTGTTACCATGCAGCGTGTTTCTGCTGCTCCACTTGCTGGGAACTGTTGGTGGATCTGACTTACTATCGATACGGAAACAAAATCTACTGCGGGCGACATCACGCGGAGTTGTCAAGGCAACGTTGTTTTGGATGTGATGAGGTGAGGCACTTTGCAACGATATGTTTTAAAATAACTCTTCACGATGTGCAAAATTACCTTGAAATTCAAAACACCTCAAGCTTCTGGTAAGAAAAAGTTTGGGCAAGAAAAAACACCAAGGAAGTAACAGTGAACCAAAGATGGCCACGAACAAGGACGTTTCAAATTACTCAACACTGCGACGGATTAATTATGAAAGATTAAATCACAATTCTCCTTATAATAACAACCAGAAGCATATATGCTTCCGTAACAACACATAATCAAACATGCGAGCCATCAACAATCAGGTGTTCTTTGTTTTTGTTTTGTTTTTTGCCAGAGCGTAAAAAAGATGGTCTGTTTGCTGGTTTAACAGACTGATACGAGAAAAAAACAAATCATGATTCAGTGTAGAATATTGCCCTGACTTGATGCAAGGCTAAGGGAATGAAAATGCTGTTGATTTTTGGCTTATTATACACGGTATCTTACAACAATTTGTTTTTCTCCATTTCCGTTCAGTTGATCTTCACTGGTGAGTACACAATAGCTATGAACAAAAGCTGGCATTTGGGACACTTCCGGTGCAGTGAGTGCGACATCAGTATCACTGGCAAGCAGTTTATCGTCAGAGAAGAAAAGCCCATTTGCACTGACTGCTTTGATCAAAGGTTTGTCAGTAATTAAGATGCGAATGAAATGCTCGTACTTTTTACGTACTGTTCAGTTTTTCAATGCCTTACCTTAATTGTGCGTTCAAAGACTCAAAGTAATATAACGATGGCCCGAGACAACTAGAAGGGTTCTTGCTTCAAATTCAGCCCTTTCTGCAACTAAGCTGACCAAACAATCTTCTCGCCAGACGAAGGCGTGAAGAAGATCCTGTTATTTTTGCCTCTGTACGAATCCTTTCTGTGAGATACCGGTTTTAACTTTTTTTACTACTCCTAGGCTCAAATCGACAGTTTCTGGTATAATAATGTTTTGGGTTTAATGGCATAGATTATGTAGTTTCACGACGCGGACGTTCTATGACATTAAACCCAGGATTGCCACACTACTGAAAGTTCACTAGCAACAGATAAGCGCACAATCTATTCATTTAATATGGCAAACCCCGAAGACATGTTTTATATGAATACAGTTTTCTTGTCGATCAATGTCTGAAAAGCGCCACCGTTTTTATCCAAGATGTGCGCTTAAAATACGCCATCACGGATTTAAACGTGGCGACGAGCCTGGATGCCATATTCTGCCGTTGTTATCGCGGCCATCGTGATTCCTTAGGGTCCCTTAGTTACGGTTAACAGATTAAAACGAATCTCACTTCCATGCGCACCTTTCTAACGCACCACTAACATTTGACTAGTGGTTTGCGCCACTAATAATTACCTTACGCGGTAGCAGTTCATCCAGCTCGCCTCTGTGATTGGTTGTCTTCGCACAGACGTCACACCGGACCATTCTAACCATGTTGTCACTCTCTCCTAATGATCATTTAATGCATATAGACCAGACAAGTTGGCCCATGAGATCTTTCCGGCTAACATCGCCATTACTCGAACGCAAATGTAAGTGAGATTCGTCATTATTAGTGTGTATTTGAAGCCCATTTATGTTGTTTTGATGCTTGCCTTCCCAAGTAATCTCCTACCGAGACCTCTCTCTCTCTGTCATTCCCAACCGCTTGACCGTGGGAGACCTGGGCTCGAGATTACTCATCAAGTTCTTAAAGAGCGGGCTGTCTCTTGCGTGAACGACACAAGAATGGATGCCGTCCTCAGCAAATCGTTTCGAAAGAATAACAACAACAACAACAAAAATTATTCGAGAGCTCCGACAGCGGTCGCTTGACTATTTTGCCATCAGGATACGTTACCAAGGAACATCTTCGACGGAAAAGGCGGACACAATCTCTTTATTTGTGTCCCCTACGACAGTGCTTAAATTCGTTTTCATTGGTAGAGGGGGGGCTAAGTTAAAAAAAAAATGACAGATTTAATTAAAATCTAGCTACTCTAAGCAAAATAGAAAGCGAGGCCAGTTGTTAGTCTTTTATGATAGGTAATTGAAAACTCAGATTCCGTCACTCTCATAGAGTAGCAGTGACTCTATGAGACCGAAATCGGATGTCTGTAGCTCACAGGCACATCTTATGCCAAGTAGTAAAGGCCTGACAGGGTTAGAATTCTAACTTACAAATTTTCGTGACGCAGATTTGCCAACGAATGTGACCACTGTCACGCCAAGATTGGACCGGATGCTAAGGACGTGTCTACGGCAGACAACCGCCATTGGCACGAGATGTGCTTCTTGTGCGATTTATGCCGAAAACCGCTGCGATCAGACGGCAAATTCACCTTCTACAAGGAGCAGGTTCTTTGCAATGATTGTTACATCACTAATTTCCAGAAGACGTGCGAAGGTTGCCAATACGCGATCGAATCAGGAAGCGCGCGTCTAGAGTACAACGGGACCTACTGGCACGAGGAGTGTTTCAAGTGCGCCGTCTGTAAAGAGGCTATTGGAACCAGCGGTTTCGTTCCAAAGGATGACGAATTCTACTGCCCAGACTGCTATCAAAATCTGCACGCCAAACGCTGCGCCCACTGTGGCGAACCGCTGTCCGAAGGTGGCGTCCTCTACAATGAACAAACGTGGCACAAAGAGTGTTTTAGCTGTTACAGCTGCCACGAGTCTCTGGCGTCTCGCCCGTTCTCCGTTCACAGTGGTAACCGCTATTGCATCGAGTGCTACGGAAGATACTTAGCCAAACAGTGCGAGCTGTGCTTTAAACCGATCATCGGAGGCGAATATTTCACTTTAGAAGACTCGAATTTCCACAAGGAGTGCTTTAACTGTAGCCGGTGTCAGCGTTCCTTAGCCAACGAGGGCTTTGCCAGAGAAGGAGTTGAACTTCTTTGCGCCAGCTGTGCTGACTAAACAGCGGCTTTCCAGTTACTGAGCAAACAAAATGTGACGATATGCCCAGCATAGTAAGAATTATAAAGAAACTGAGTCACTTTATGATTACATTTTCCCCGGCCGTTTCTAAGCTAAGTCGCGTTTAATTAATTTGGGATCTAGGATTGTAAGTCAATGCTCGAAACCATAGAAAATAAGGTCGAGATAGGCGTGAAAAAATAGTTCAGATGTTTTCAGACCACTTGAGCTAACTTAAAGAATAAACTCAACACTGACTTGTAAAAATATTTTAAGTTTAAAATGTTTGTAGTTTTTTACGTTTTGTCATGGAACATTATGTGGGAAAATTTACAGATTTATGTAGATCAAAATTATATATTTTTCTAAATATGTATGTTATAAAGAATTACTATACAAGCTTTTAACATTCTCTAATATAATGTCGAGGATTATACACTGTAAATCTCAATGTGTTATCTAATTCTATTGTAAAAATCTTGTTTTTATACCGATAAAGCACACTCTAAATGGCAGAGAACTATGTCGAAGTTTTCTTTATTCCTTAACTAATTCAAGTGATAGTAGAAATTGTGTCTAAGTAAAATCATGATTTCACGACAAACGCTCATATTAAGGCTCCTTAATTCCAAGCCTGGTTACCTTTAGGCGTTGACAGTGAGGGGGGGTGGGAGGGATAGGCCCGAGGGTGGGGGGACTTCCATACAAAAAGGTACGGGGGGGGGNAAGTTCAACCATAAGCAAACTTAATTACTAAACCTGTTCTGAACCCCCCCGGGGGGACTTCCATACAAAAAGGATGGGTCCGGGGGGTGCTCGTCGGAAACCCGTAAGAAGAACCAAGATCCTGTTTTGTGGGCGCGACTTGAATTATTTTTCACCCTTAAAGAGGTACCAGTGCTGAAGCAACACATTATCTCCTGTCATATTATTTTCGGTTCAGTGCCCTAAAAGGTGCCGAGAAGCTCCTGCTGTGGACCTTTTGAGGCTGAACACCCTGAAAGGGACCAAAACAGCGTTTTAACCTCCAGGGAATGGGGTCAGCGGGGAGCAGGAATTCTTATAAAAAAATATAATTAAGTGAGTTACTTTTTTTTTCGATGGCTGTTTTTTTCTTTTGTTACACGCAGTAAAGTGTTGTGATCATTTACTCCGTAGTGATTTTTCCCTCGGCCACATATTGCGCCCGAATTATTACCAACACTTTGTTCGTGAAATACGTTACGCTCATGACAACAGTAATTATACAAACTATTAAATGCGACTTCCATTTAAAACTCCAAACTCTTAGAACAGGAACATTTCTTTTCCGAGTTAATATCATGACAGATAGGATATTAAACAGGAATTCAATAAACAGCGCTGAAACGATTCTTGCTACAAGTTCTAGAAACATTTCCTCGTATTTTTCAACACTCAAGTTTAGATGAATGAAGCCATAAATCTGAATTATTCCAACAGAGAGCACAATAGCGGCCTCATTGGACATCATCTCGTGTATTGCCATGTCAGCGGCTAACCTCTGAGACCGGGGCGTGCTCATGTACGCAGCATTAGATCGTCCTCGTGAGTCGTGGTCCAATTCTGAGTACAGAATTTTCTGATTGTGTATTTTCTCACTACGGTGTTCTTTTAGTACAGTGATCAACTCGAAGAGCAAGTGAATTAATCCATGGCCTATGCTTACCGTGATAAACGCTAACAGACTTTTGAATTCTGCCTGCATGAAGCGGTAGACGATACTGCAACCAGTGCTGGCAGCAGAGACCAAGACATATGACGTGCCAGGATGATTCACTCCATTCAACCTTAGGACGCATTCTTTAGAAACCACCTTTGGTAGTATGACGATCAAAAATCCTAAAGCTAGAATGGCAACTTTTATAAACCCTTCTTGATGTGCAAACCACGGAAACAGGACATATCCACAGATATAAAACACTGGGGCTCCCACGATGAACTGTACACCAAGTTTAATTGTCAAGAAACGTGCCCCGAATGGATTGGTTTTGAAAATGTTTCTACTAATAGAAAAATTGCTTATAAAAACAACAGTTATGAAAAGGAAATTCAGAGGATATGGGATCCAGGGAGGAAAATAAAGGTCATACACCGCAAGGAGAAACCTGTATCCTAGGTCGATCGAAGCCCCAACAAGCGTAACGATCATTAGATTCACCTCTTTGAGAATAGACCATTTAAAAACCATAAGCAGCAACGCCGGCTGCCAAAAGTACAGAAAGAAAGATTGGTACGATTCGCCTATTATGCGTCGCCGCTTCAGTTTTTCAGGATAAGAGGGGTCCTTCAGCTTTTTCCATTCACAGGTGTAGACAATGCTGATGATATAGTACATCAAGAAAAGAGCGCCAATCCCGACTACTCCGCCAAAAACTGTTACCCAGGCTGAAAACCAAGCACTCTTCTTCAAAGAGTCCTTCATTGGTGGCCTGTTGCGTTTCCACGAGTCCCGGCTACCTGTGCAATTTTGAGAGCCATCAAACTCTTGAGATATTGTATCTTCTGGGTCAAAGTGCTCGAAATCTTCCTTTTCTGTTGATCTAGCCTCGAATTGCCCCGTAAGGTGTCCGGTAAGAGAGTGGAAGACAAAGATTAACAGCTCCACTGGAACAGAGAGGAATTCTGACATGATTACAACGTTGCCTTTCAGTTTAGTCCTACGTTGAAAGTACTTGAACCGCTCAGTTTCAGTGCCAAAGGAACACTTTATCGACAGATCATTTGGTGCATATCATTTCGATTTCTTATACTAGTGCCTGAAAGACTTAATTAAAATTCATTTCATTTTCTTTTGTACGACTTACCATTAGGTTCTACGCCAATTATCAGTCAGCTTATGACTAACGTAACTGTGTTTTGATTCATTTCTCAGAAAGATCGAAACCCTCGTTAATTACTCTTTGTTTAGAAGTACAACACGAAAGCGTCGCATTTCCAAAAGTATCGGAAACGTTTAGACACCTGTCATGCGGTTTCGTTTCAAACAGTTTCAACTGAAGACATGAAATAAATATCAATCGTGCAAACTTATTTAAATTAAGTGTAACGTCAACACGCCTAAGAAAAGAGAAATAAAACGCATCTGACGAGTGATGATGAAGAAATAGATTCGATAACCAACCTTAGCCCTAACCTCCAGTTTTCAGTCATAACTCAAGCGTTCTCGATCGTCCACAGAAAGCAACAGGTCAAACGTCAAAGAAACCGGAGGAAATTGAAATAGGGTAACGAATTTTTGTTAGGTCTGAAATAGGGAAGAGAAAATCACATATTTTGGTGTGAAATAGGGAAAGGGTTTCGGAAAGCGGGTTGCACACTTTACCCAATGTTTCTGGGAGCACCCACTCTTTCCCCCCACACCCCGCCCTCACGGCTAATGAAGTGCAATTGAGCCAAAGAAATGTTCCACTTGTAAACTTTTATTACGCCCTGAAAAGTTGTTTTATATTTAATACACTAAAAAGACGAGGTGATGTTCACCGGTCCCCAGTTATTTAATTGCGGTTGTTTCTGTTTTTGTCTTTTAGCGCAAAACCAATTTATGACAAAGTATAACTGGTTTATAAGTATGAAATTAGTGTTATGCTTGATGCAAACAATTGCCCCGTACTCCGTGCATGCTGTTTTACTTATGTCAACTTGGGTGGCAGTCAAAAAATGTATATAAGTCCGTCTCTTGACGCTTCTGAAGTGTGCTGCTGGAGTGGATTTTGGTTTCGATTCGCAAAGTTTCACATCATTTCGAAATACTTTCTAGTCACCGATTATTGACCCTACATTGATGATACTTGGCCGATTAATCTCGAGAAACTGGATGCATCGTGGTAGAGAAATACGACAGAGTTTGCGATGGTCAGTTACTGAGGTAAAGTCGCATTCGGGCTGGCTAACTCTTTAAATTCTAGCTGGCGAAGTTTCTCTCAGTTTTCATAGCATGAAGTATCTAGGAATATTGCTGGTTTTCACTGTCACGCAATTCAAAATAGATCAAAATAAAAATCAAAACCGGTCAATAGATAAAGTCTAGAATCTGGGAAATGAAAGAAGGTAAATA